TTGGGTTAGTATAGCGCCGTCACCCATGAGAGAAACTTCTTGTAGCACACCTTGCAGAAGTCCCCAGTTCACCCTGTCAAACGCTTTTCCACATCTGTAGACAGAAGTACAGCTGAGAGCCTAGTGCACCTCACCATTGAATCAGGTTAGTATCCAACATGAGTAGTCCCTCATCTAAATCCTACTGACAGAGCTAAGGTGCGCTTTATTATCAAGTATAAAGTGCTTACGTAAGCAAATTCTTTTTGAGAGGGTAATAAACCCATTGTTTATAATTACGCTGAATTTGAGTCTGCATTCACTTCTTCCACTTTTTTTCATTGCCCTCCCTAATATGGCTGAAACATGTTCTACAATAAAGTTACACACAGAAAAAAGAAAAAAAAAAGGTCTCATCACCATTTTTTGGCGCCAAAATCAAGTAATCTGAGGACTATAAAAAACCAGTGTTGTCAGGTACATGTTTTTACCTAAGGGGAGAAACACGTTGCGGTATTTTAATTGCTGTATTTTATTAAAGGTATTTTGGCCACTATCAACTTGTGAGTCAGCCATTCTACTCTTTTATTTATTTTTACCTGGCACCAGAGTTTTTATTGTTCCAGTGAGAATTTTACTCCAAAGAATCCTTGGTGGGGATTATACCACTTAAGCTTTATCCATTGAGCAGTCTGCCTGCTCAATAAAATGTGAGTAACCACTTGGAATTTTATTACTTTACCTCTGGCTTTTATACAATAAGCACTATTATTGTTTCTTTTACATTTCACATGGTCCTTATACCAACAAGATATCCATCTACTATAAAACTTCACGTATCCCATAAGTGGGTATTGTACCACTGTATACCATCCACACTAGAGCTAGTCTTATAGCTCTGGAAACCGTGAGTAGGACCATATAGACCTCTACAAATAGTACTTAGTGAAACAAAACAGAGGAAGAGTCTGCGCTAGTTCAATTGAGCAGCAACCCAAAAAGGGAGATCCCTCACGGAACCCTTATGTAGGAAATGCGAAAAAAGAGGGGGTCAAGGGCTGCGCTTAGGTAAAACAGATATGTTGAAATATATAAGATCGTGTATATGTAAAATAAACAGCGGTAATAAAATCAAATAAAGTTCATCCGGATTTTCTTAAAAATATAGAATAAAAACAGTCTCACTGATATGTAGTACCACGATATTAATCCTCAAGTATGGCTCCGTCCGTGTGGTAGGTAGTCCATATATGTGAAGATAAAAAACAAGAAAGAAAGCTGCCTATGGTGAAATATTGTTGGTCCTGATGTGGTATATAATCAAAGGAAATATGTTTCACTCACATTTGGTGGAGCTTATTGCCAGCTCTGGGAGAAGAGGCACTTAGTGGTTTGATCCCCACTAACGGATATACTTAGATGGTCCGTCTGTCCGGCTTGGGATTCCTGTGGTGTCGGCTAGGATCTACTTCACATATACGTTGTTTTCTTGATGCTTGGAAGATAGGTCCGCCTTTCCAGTATCGGGTGGTAGGTGTCCACGGAGTATATATGAGACAGCAAAATAGTGCTCTCAGTATGAACAACAAAGTGATATCTATAAATGAATAATACTTACAAGAATGGAGCAGATGGATACTGCTCTATTGCCACAGTGCTGGTGGAATTATCCCCACCTAAGGATTTCTTTGGACGGAATATGCTTCCAGGTAAAAAATTGAATAATAAAAATAATAAAAAATAATAAAAAAAGGTGGATAAAACTATAGTGTTAAATACAAAAAATATATATGAAAAAATAATATATATATATAAAATGCCAGGGGTAAAAAGAAAGTGTATAAAATACAAATAAGTATGCAATTGGTCCTAGTTTTAAAAGGTAACCAAAAATAACTTTTATTGATTAAAATACACTTATTAAAACCATTTACGCGTTTCACCTTTGGGGTTTTCTCAAAATGGTAAAAGAACAGTACACCTGGCAAGGAACTGAATATATAAGGTTTACAGAGGTTGAATTTGGCGCCAAAATCTTTTGTGCACCAATCACAAACAAGTATTAAAACAAAACTTTCTGTACATTTCAAAATGACATTATGAATGAAGCTTTTCTGCAGGTAAAAAAGATGTCTTTTAACAGGGGGCCATAGTCCAAAGGCAGCAGGCGAGCAACCAGGCTTCTCCAATGCAATGTGGCGAGATTGGTCTCGTCACAGTACCTGTTGGGATATACTGCACCATTATGTGCTGTCTTTTTATTTTTTCATATGGATTTCACGAATATCCCATGTCCATACGTTACTGAGGGATACTTCCCCTGACAAGATTGTAATTGACTCTTTTGGACTTAATCTTTGGACTCTTTATTATTCATTATCCATATTTCAATCTCTTTTTGTTTATTTTATCTTGTATGTATTTTCTCTTATATAGTGTCTTGTATATGTGCTTGTATAGTTTATAATCAGGTTTATTTATTTATTTATATTTTATTTCACCTGTGGCGCCGCCTCCCCCTTCACCTTTTTTAGTTTTGTCTACAAACAGATTAATGCTTCACAAGCTCAAGCACCAAAAACCACACCGCCTCAGAAATTGTGTCACAATGCCATAAAAATTAACCGTTATTTTAGTTAAGCTCCAGAAAAATAGATGGCCATCCTGGCATTAATAGTAGACATTCTCCGCAGAAGTTAGACAATTGTGATGGTCTTATGACCAGTCTGATGCAAGAGAGTATGTTTTGGCTTGCTCAGCCTTTACACAAGCCAAAAACCCATGTACATTGTCTTGTGGTCTTCTCCAGACCATCCCAAATAAACTATCTGTATAGCCATGGATTTTATTGTCGACTTTCCCTATCTAAGGGGAATACTGGCGGTCGCTGACCATTTCATGAAAATGGACCAATTTATACCCTTGCAAAAGCTACCTACTTCTTAAGAAATGCCCTTAATATTTACTGAAGAAGTGTTCAAGCCTAATGGCGTTCCTAGATAGATAGTCTCTGATATAGGATTTCAGTTTATATCCAGATACTTAAGAGCATTCTCTACTTAAATAGGAATTACCCAGTCATTCTAGTCATCATCCACAGACCAATGGTGAGGCTGTATGCACCAATCAATCTCTTGAACAATATCTTAGCTGTTTCATCTGTGATCATCAAGATAACAGGACTGACTTGCCATGGGCTGAATTTACACAACAATGCCATTCACAAATCTACTGGGACACAGCCCTTAAAACATCTTGTATGATTTCCATCTTCAGCTCTCCCAGCAAATTTTTCAATAATGAAGATACCTGTTGTGGACAAACACTTACACAACCTGCGTAATGCCTGGAAACAGGGTCAGTGCGCCTTGACTAATAAACCTACTATTCAGAAAACTTATGCAGACAAAAAGCACAATATAGTTCCTTCACATTGAGTGGTTGATAGGGTGTGGTTACAGGTCACGCAACAAGTACTTGAATGTAACTTCGGCTAAACATGGTACTAGGTACATTAGCCATTACAGAATTATCATATCAATCCTGCTTACGTCTTAGACTTAATCACCAATATGAAAATAATAAATGTATTCTATATCTCTGTCTGTTAACCAGACACTTTATTCCTCCTTTTCCTGTCATTGCCAACAATAAAAAGGAATACGAGATCCAGTCCATTATTGATTCCAGATTCTCCTGGGATAAATTACAATATTTGTTACATTGGAAGGGATATGGACCTGAGGAAAGGTCTTGGGTGAATGCTACCAATATTCATGAAATTCGTCTTTTGCGTGAATTCCATGTCCCCTTTTATCTTCGTCATGGTCCACCTGGAGGGTTGTTTATTTGAAGAGGACGTGTCACACAATGCTCTGTGTTCTGATACTCCAAACTATTCCATCCTCACAGCCTCTGGTTGCTCTGTATTTTCTGACTTTTTTTAGGGCCTGGCGTTGTGCCCTAATCATATAAATACATTAATCTGACCAGTGCTCTATGGCCTGTGTGGGCTTTACAGTCCTTATAATCTTGGTATATAGTGGTGGCTTTTTTACTTAGCTTGTCCTGACTACTCAGTTCTCTGTTACCCTGTGACTTGGCTTAGTTTATTGTTTACCTCTACTGACCTTAACCTCTATTTTCATGCATTTTGTGTGTTAACTCAAGCAACTTCTAAAGACGAACAATACACTTCCTATCCTACCAGTATATGTTAGATGTTGAGGCAAGCTGTGTGTTGGGTGACAATGACAATCTGCACAATGAAGCCACTAGAGATGTCCACATGCACTGTGGCTATGTGGCTGCTTAGGCAGATATGGAAAACTATTGGCAGTTTTGGTAACTGATGGCTGGCTAAACAAGGCCTGATAGATGATAGTGTCTTGGGGAACCACTCTCTCAGAAATACCTCTTACATCCTAGCAAGCTGCTGTAGAGTCAGGGACGCCACGGTAAACTCCAATTGCATGTGTCCAGACCAATGTGTTTTAAGAAGGGAAAGTAGCTCAATCAGTCTGAAAGGCAGTGATCCGCTGCGAGAAGCTCCTAACTTCAGTTCTATGTGTACCCAACTCTGGAATATTTGATTCAATTAATAGAATAGGGGGTGGGGGCGGGCTGCCGAGCTGAGCGGTCGCAGGACAGATCAGTTTCCGCTAAATATGACTTATTATGTTTGTAAATAGTGTTTTTGGAGGGAATGAATGGTCCACAACTCGATGTGCACGGGCTATCGGAGCTGAGGAGAGGCTTGCTCCTGGAGTTTTAGTCCTTCAGAGGAGAAGTCCCTGCGGCAACAAGCGAGACCTTACCCGGCGGTGAGTGGAGTGGACGGCCGCCGCGCCACTATCCTGCCCAACGAGGCCCGAAAAAAACTCGGAATATCCGCGGACCCGGTCCTGATTCCCCCCCTCTAGACAGGGGGGGTGATCCAGGTCCTCGCACTAAAGCCGCACCCGGAGGCACTGCCGTGACACCATGCAAGACCCAAGCCTAGATCTAAGATTGTGGAGGCCATGGGCGCAGACACTGATCCGCGGAGCCTGAAGCGGACTACACACACCATCTGGTCAGACGCACAAAGCAACACGTACAAAAAGACCCACCCCATGCAGCAGCTACAGAGTCCAGGGATACAGGGGCACATGGCGCCAATAACCGAGCATGACGCACCACCCTCGAGGCATGCGCTGCAGACGAGACCGCTCGCCCTTCATCTGAGCTGGGCGCTCACCGGGAGGAACTCATCCACAGCCTGCCATAACCCCAGGGAGAAGTTCGGGATCCAGCGGAACCCTGGGCCCACGATCCTGCTGATGGGATCAATGGCGAACTGGCACGAGCACCTGCTAAGGCCTCAGGCTGAAGACAGGCGGTCCTGACCCCAGGAAGAAACAGCACCTCGGTGAACTGAAGCTGATCTCCAATCTGGCAGTGACACAAGCGGCATCCATCCCTAGGCACAACAGCATACCCTGCGGAGTGGGCTGAGTACTTTTATAGACATTGATGGACATACAGGCTATTGCATAACAAACACAACGACACATACCCAGGACTTGGGCCACAAATCTTAAAAGACGCCAGTTTTACAATGGGGGAGAGGCAGAGAGGCTGACTAAACGTACCTAACTAATCCGTAAGCACTAGACCGTTCACCCTAGGGGGTTAATTGCTTCACAACACTATCATACACACCCCCCCTCTCCCCCCCGCAGTTTACTCTTATGTTGCTTTGCTTAGATCATCTCACAGGCTAGCTTTCCTGGGCACGGTGTGCCTCCCCACATTGGCTACACCATTCCAGCTAGCACCATATGGTGAACAGCATACTCGCCTTAATATGTATACCTGGTGGGACTCGCAGATACACAGTTGAGTTATATCTATATTTAACATATGATACGCAGGGCACCACGCTTAGCAACCTAATATAATATACAAGCGACTTATAATCATCTAACTTGCTGCTACACACCACGTCTGGTATCTCTGCTTTTCTTTAACTCCTGTGTACAAGCATTAGACGTGTGAGCTTTGCTTGTTCCCCACTTGTGTGGCCAAATAACTCGACTTGTATTTAACCCGTACCTCTATACCAGCTTAAAGTCCTGAAACCACAGCTTAGCAAGTAACCTCACTATGTAATATGACTTGTGTACCATGCGTTGATATGCTCAAACCCCCTGCTTTGCATTCTGTAGTGAAACCTGCATCGCTATCTAAACATATAAAAAGAGGCTAACCCATGTGGGTATTAGGGCACTGAATATGACCTGTAAACCATGCATTGATGCGCTCTAACCTCCTGTTTTGCATTCTGTATTGTCTTAATCTATGCCTCAATAAAAACAAAGATTGACAAAAAAAAATTAATAGAATAGGGATTTATAAGGAATAGGAAGGTTGAATGTTGGATTGTCACCCAGATCATTTGATCTTGCATTCCATAATCTTATGATAGATATACACACACACACACAAACATAGGCCATATGAATTAGTATATGTGTTTGATTAGTATTAAACAGAGCCAGGTGTCTCCTGCTCCTGGGTAACATTAATTATTAGTTATTAATTTCCTGGGATCCTATAACTGGTTCCATCTGTGCCATGTGCTGGTAATCATAACTAGTTTAGTACATTTCATTGAATCTTGTAAGTCTAAAGAGTTCCATGTGTTTCATTTGCTCTTGGAAATAGTTGTTAGTGATGTGAGTGATGGCAGTGCATGGCTAACTGGGCTTACTTTAATCTCCCAATCATTTCAAGCTTAGAGACGCATTGTCCCGTGTTATCAAGAAAACCCCAGGACCCCTCTATTCTGATTACATCATAGTGAGTACGATTGAAAATGAAAATGACACATTCAATAGGGGAGAGAGAGAGAGAGACTGGATGTAGAGTAAATACACACACATATATATATAAATATATATATACACACACACACACACACAAATATATATATATATAAAAGTCTCAAAGATATATCTCAGCAGGAAATAGAACAGAATTGCTAGATCCTTGCATTTATCAGAGCCAGCAATCTCACATCCATTACAGCTCTGACAACGTAATTAATTCCAGTCAATCAATCATAGGACAGGAACGCACAGGTGACCTCAATATAACACATAATCCGCAGCCAACTAGTCACAACAGCGCTGAGAGAATTCCCTAAGAAAGGGGGATGAAGCCAGCCGTGTGTGGCTGAGAGAAACCTAGCTTGCACAAACCCATCGTCTGTGATCTCTCGGGGAGATGAAAGACCTCTGACAGGCTGGATTACACAGAACAATTATGTGTGCTGAAATCACAGGGAATCGGCTTTCAGACATACCTAATCATTGCCAATTAGCTGCGTATTTCTGACATGTTAAAGGAACTGAGCCAGAAACTGCATGTATGGGCTTGGGACACGGTTAACCATTTGCGCCAGTCAAGAATGACAATCTACAGTACAGTAGGGGTTAAATGAGTAAAGCAAAGTCATAAAGAGCTCTATTCATAATGTATAAGTTTAGTATCTGGCATGAAATTATAGTCCATTTCTCTACCAACTCATAAAAAAACGACATATTTACAACCGAGAATTTGTGCTCCTTACTTTTCGTGACTTTGATAATACTGTGATGTCCATTTTTAGGAGTGCTAAATACTGATGTTTGATTAGCAGGGCCTAACACCATCAGCTTTAGCATTCTAGCTCTCTCTAAAACGGAGCTCCTTGTCTCTCCTCCTCCTAATACTGATCCTCCTCTTTCACTCTCCTGATCCACATCCGTTCATCCTTGCAAGCGCGCTGTATGGGTGTCAAACTTGATTCTGGCCTCACTTTTGAGCCTCACATCCAGCATGTTACCAAGTCCTGTAGATTCCATCGTAAAAACATAGCCCGCATCCGCCCCTTTCTTACGCAAGATGCTGCTAAGCAGCTTGTCCATGCTCTAGTAATTTCCTGCATGGATTATTGTAACCCTCTCCTAATTGGTCTTCACAAAAACAGTATTGCCCCGCTACAGTCTGTAATGAATGCTGCCTCCAGACTGATTTTCCTCTCTAGTCTGTCCTCTCACACCTCACCCTACTGTCAGTCCTTACATTGGCTTCCTGTATCCTATAGGAGTCAATTCAAAGTGCTAACCCATACCTATAAAGCATTGACCAATTCTAGCCCCTCTGATATCTCTTCACAGATCCATAGGTATTCTCTGTCTCTCCGAAAGGCCCGTGACCTTCTCCTGTCCGCTGCTCGTACGCGAAGGTCAACTCACGCTTGCAGGAATTCTCGCAGGTGGCTCCCTTCCTCTGGAACAGCCTCCCTACCCCCATCAGACTCTCCCCTAGTTTTCAATTCTTTAATACGTGCCTTAAAACCCACCTCTTTAGGAAAGCTTACGGCCCCCAGAGTAACCTCTACCTCACATACCTGTCTCTTGCTCTCTCCTAAAGGGCAGCACTCTACTCTCTACTCTAGCTCTGCTTCACTCCCACCTTATTTGATTGCTATTTCCTGTCCTATTGTGTTTTATACCCCACCTCCTATAGACTAAACTCGTTTGAGCAGGGTCCTCTTCAACCTATTGTTCCTGTAAGTTTTCTTGTTATTGTCCTATTTATAGTTAAATCCCCCCTCTTAAAATATTGTAAATCTGTTGGCGCTATATAAATGGCAATGATAATAATACATCACAATCTATATATTGAAACACCTTAACTCATTAGCATTGTCTGCAAAACACTGTGGTGGCACTGAAAGATTTGAGGAACAGTAAGGCGTCTTCTTCACGAAAAGTCCCATTGCAGTAGATGGCTAGGATTATATTAGTGATGGGTATATAAAATTATAATGGTAGCATTTTACTTGACAACCAACCCCAGAACTAACCAAAACATATATTTAGAGAGCTGTTGATTGTGCAAACAAACAAAATGGGGATCTAAGGGAGATATTAGGATCCTCATAGAATATCTTGGACACGCACATTGAGAGGCCTTTATTGCACAATGTGCAAGAAGATTACACCCCCACCCCTTCCCATCAATTATCACTTGTGTGCAATTTCAGAGCAAGGCTGCCTGAAGAGAATAAATATCCCAGTTTGCCATTTTCAACAGAATACATAACTATTATTTACCTTATGTATATTTGAGCGCACTAAACTTCTATTGAAATTGCTACATATGGGTTAGTTTTTTGTTTGTTTTTTACAGACGGGTCTATAGTAAAAAGATTCTAAGCACCATAGCACCCACCCATTGTAAGTAGTCAAACCACTTTAGAACAGTTTGCCTTATCACGTATAGATTGTCATTTGCCGCTCGTTGCCTCCACTAGCTCAGACAGAAAGTTGTAAACTTCTGTTAGATCTCCTGAGCTAAGCCCTGCAGCCCTGCTCATTGGCTGAGATCAGCAGATTGCTGGGATTGGCTGAGACAGAGTGCTCTTGACTCTCTGTCTGAAGCAGTGGAGACTTAGAGTACCACCCAGGTAAGTAGTCACACTGTTCTTTTCTAATATTTTTTATTAAAGTTATAATGTATTTCATAACAAATAATAACAAATAGTCAAACATAGTATTTGGGGGAGGAAAAGGAAGGGGAACTTGGAAAAGGAAAGGGGATCCATCCATAGTAGTAAACATATGAAATTTTATACAAAACGTTAGTTATACATCTTTGAACTTAAACTATATATTCTATAAGCAGTAAGTTTTTTTTAAATATCTTCTTCCCATTTAACCCAAATATGTTAAAGGTCTGCAAATAAATATGTATTCTTTCTATAAGACAATTTGTTTGCTTTACTATCTAAAACCATGGTCAAAATTTCTTTACGTGTAGGTAAATGTTTAGACTTCCAGTATTGAGGTAGACAACATGCAATTAGCATGTGGCCTATTATTTTGTCAATTTTCGCAACAGACTCCGGGGATTTCTTAAAAAGTTCTAGTTCTGATGTCAAGATACTTATATCCTTGTCCACTTTAATAATCAAATCATGAATCATTTTCCAATATCTGGCTAATTTTGGACAAAACCACCATATGTGTGCCATGTTTACTGTACCTCCACAATCCCTCCAACACCGGTCTGAATACGCAGTATTCATGTTGTGTAGTCTAGACGGAGCCAGGTATCAAAATGGTCGGTACAGTACGAAATTCCCTTAAGAGCAGTAAAAAAAAACAAAAAAAAAACATTCTTTCAAACTGTTTTGTGTACCCAACTCCCACGACAACATATGCCTCAATTTATCAGAAGGTTTAACATTATAAACAGAGTAACAGAGAAAGGATGCCTTTTCTTCCTGGATCATGCAGGGAAACCTTTTCCAGAGCTGAAAGTTCGAGTGTCTTATAATTTGTA